TTCCTGCTGAAGCTATCAGAGATCTACAATAAGGTGTCCACGGATGACGATTAATTTGATTTGCATGAGCGCGGTGGTTTATCCCATTATACTAACTGTAATTAAGATGTTTAAATAAAAAAATTATGATTTTAAGTTTTTTTCTAGAAGATAATCGCATTTTTATGTTGAGACGAAACGGATCTGTGAAGACGACAATTTTGCTCTAAAATCTGTTTTGCGGCATGCGCGCAATGTAAACACTGAAGTAAAATTTGAATCACGGAACTTTTAAACATGACGACAAGAAAGAAAACAGAGTTGTTTGCTATCGGCCAACCTTTAGAAATGTTGCCTTCTTCTGTATTGCCTACAGCAGAAGATATTTTGCGAAAATACGGACAATACGGATTATCGGAGAATAAGGGACACAGATCAAGTATTGAAACTTTAGTTGGATGTAAGCAAAAAACAGGTTCAAGAAGTTTAACTTGTACCCATACAGAGTTAGGAGGATGCCATGCATAAAGCCCTGCTTGGTTGCTGCCATAATAAATCCATGGTTCAGATCGAACAGCGAGCAGTAGTTGAACTAGGTAAGCTGGTTGAATTACTTTCTGTGCTAGTTCAAGTTTATAACTTTATTGTCATGACCTCGTTCTTACATTTTTATAAATTACCCCATTTTCACTGCAAGAAAAATTATTTTGCAAAACGGGATGATTTTTCGATTTTTGTGTTCGGATATCTGTTTTTATTTTATTTTCAAGCCCAGAGGAATTGGGAAATTTTTAGCAGGTAAATAAAAGCTTGGAGTTTAATTTAATTTACATTTAGTCGAGAAAGATATGAGAGTTCAAGAAAAACCTTTTCATTTTGGAGTGTTTATGTGATGGCCAAACCCTCTTCCATTTTAATTATATAAAATATCCAGATTTCAATGATTAAAACTAAAAAATTGAAACTGTCAACAATTAAAAAACTTTGGCTTTTAAAAAAATCCCTACTTGTCTGGAAATAATTTCTTTAATTAAATTATTTTCTTTTTACAGAACAGAGGATGCAAAAACATCAGATCTCAAGTTCCTGGCAGATCAGAAAAGTGACAGAATTGGGAGAATTGGTTCTGAAGATGATAAATATAAAGAAAAAGTCGTTCTGAAGCGGAAAAGAGAAGATGAAGAGGTGGAAAGAAGATTGAAAGAGGAAGCAAATAAAAGAAATCAGTTCAAGGTTCATGACATTGAATTTATTGCTGATGAAAACCAGGAAGAAATTGTTGCTCCATCTTCCAAAAAAGCTCGAAAACTAAAAAATGTCGATCTTAATATAAATGTGAGAAAATGGATTCAGGAAACCTCGATAATCTGTAACAGATACAGAGTCGGAGTGAGACCTCAAACTGCAATCCTTGCTTCAGTTTTTAATCATTCAAATTTAGACCTTGACCAGATAAATCTATCAAAGTCCTACGTCGCCAAGGTTAGACAGGAAACAGTTAAAGAGGATTCAAATTGTATTCGAGAAAACAACAAAATGTTATTAAAAGACAATCTTCTTACAATTCATTTTGATACAAAGCTTACATCAGAGATTACAGACGGAGTAAACTGTGTCAAGGACAGACTAGCTGTTTCGGTGACTAGTCCAAATTTTCCAGATAATCAAGATATTCTTCTAGGTAAATTTACATTTAACAATTGAAATATTTGATAATTCTTGAAATAAAAATCAATTTTTGTATAGATAAAAATATATTCAGGCATTATCCCAATTGATAATGGAACCGGACAAGTGCAAGCAGAAAATATTTTACAGCTTCTTCAAGATTGGGAAATTAAGGATAACATTGTTGCAGTTTCAACTGACACTACAGCATCAAATACAGGAATGATAATTTTGTTAGTAAATTCCAAGAACTCAGACATTTCTTTATTTGCTGGAAAAAAATGACTACTTCCATCAAACTCTATTGTTAAAGATTTATATAGAAAATTTAAAACATAATCAAAATATCAATTAAAGGACGTCTGAATGGTGCCATCGTCATTTTGCAACAAATGCTTGGAAGACAGGAAAACAAGTTTTATTTTAAAATATTGGCAACTGTTTAATTTAACTTTTTAACAAAGTTTTGAATTAACACTTTATTTTGTAAAATATTAGATTTAATTTGCTATGGATAAATTATAGAAATTTCAAAAAGGCTTTTTTTGAAAACTTGTTCAATGTTTAAGTTGTTGTGGTTAATGTGTCGCCATCATTCTTTTGAACGACATGTGTTCTATGCATTCAAAGAAATTACAGGAAAAAAACAAAAATTATCAAAAACTATTTTTTTAAACCTGAAAATGCCCTCATTTCTTAAAACATTATTGGTGAAAATTATGTTTTTTAGGACTGGTAACAAAGGGACCACAAAAGCAGCTTTACACCAAGCTAAAAAATAATTGGTTAAAATTCAGACCTAAGGTTGAGGAGAACTTTCAGCTCGTGGTTAAGTTCAACTATGAAACTTCAACTTTAGTAGAACAGAACTTGGCTATTAAAGCTAAGGACTACTGTGAAAAAATGATGTTAGAAAGAAAGTTTCAGAGAGGAGATTATGAATACTTAAATAAGCTTATCTACTTCTATCTAGGTGGAGAAATCCCAAACTTCAAATTCAGGCAACCTTCGGCTTGTCATGAGGCCAGGTTTATGAGTGACAGTCTATATATCCTTGTTCTTTTCATGACATCAAATATTTTAGAACTTTTAGATGAAAGCCAGATTGAAAAATTCAAGCAGCTTAGCAATTATATAGCACTATTTCATGGACCTAACTTTTTAAGATGTGGTCTCACTGAACAAGCTCCGAACTTGGATCTAACTCTTGTTAAAGAACTACATCTGTATCGTAGCATTGACGAAAAAATAACCGATTCAGTTGTTAAATCTATCAACCTGCACTCCTGGTATTTAACGTCAAATTTGGTTGTTTTATGTCTTGCAGATGCAACCCTTCCCTCAGAGGAAAGAGAAAAGGTAGCAAAAAAACTTTTTGAAACTGAAAAACCTGCTGCTTTTGAAAAGATTAAGCCAAGTCTACCGGAACTTTCTCCAGAAACGCAGTTGGTTGATTGCGTAGGTCCCGATAGCTGGTTGATTTTTGACATTTTGAATCTTTATGACAATGAATGGCTTCAAATTGACGCCGAAAACTGGTCCTTCTTTGGGAATTATCGAACATTCGAAAAGTTTGCGAAAAATCTAAAAAGTATTAATGATTTTGCAGAAAGAAATATCCGTCTTATTCAAGATTTTGTTCTTTCTTCTCCAGTAGAGGATAGAAGACAAAACAATATTATGTCGGCAAAAAACCATAGACAAATCCTAACAAAAACATTGACCAAGGAAAATACAAAAATATTTCATTTTATTTTTTATTCAAATTGTATTTTAATATCATTAAAGCTTTTTTTATAACTAATTCAGCAATGAAAATGTAAAAAATTTGTATTTTCCTTAGTCAAATCTTAAAAAGATTTAAATTTAAAATTAACAACAATTGTAAAATAAATTGATGTAATTAATTAAATTAATTACAATGAAGGAACTGTAAGTGTAATTTCAAGTGACCCTCCAATCAATAAAGTTTTTCTCGGATTGAAAGCACTTAATTCTGATAATTTCAACGTTTTCCTGCAGCAGAAATATGCAAGTCCCATGTTTAGAGAAACCACAATTTTAAAAATATCATTTTTTTAAAATAATTTATACTGGATCTGACAAAGCTTTTAAGGGTACTGTGTAAATTGGCATTACCATCTTTGCATGAAGGGTTATTTGAAATTACGCTTACAGTCCCTTTAACAGTTAAAAACTATTGTAAATTATGTATGAAACTATGAAATTATTGTAAATTATGTATGAAATTATGAAAATATTGTAAATGATTTATGATTAAATTAATGAAAATTAGTCCCAAAGATTAATAAATGTAAAAATAAATTTTATGTCTTACAATTTTTGGAAAAACGAAGTGCTNTATCTATCTATCTATCTATCTATCTATCTATCTATCTATCTATCTATCTATCTATCTATCTATCTATCTATCTATCTATCTATCTATCTATCTATCTATCTATCTATCTATCTATCTATCTATCTATCTATCTATCTATCTATCTATCTATCTATCTATCTATCTATCTATCTATCTATCTATCTATCTATCTATCTATCTATCTATCTATCTATCTATCTATCTATCTATCTATTTATATATCTACGTAGATATAAATCTGTTAAATGTACAATTGATGAGTTTTCCAATATTCCATATATATATATATTCTGTGTTTATTCCAAACATACACAGTGCATGCACAATTTAGATTTATACCATTTTATATATTTTTTCTTTTTATTTTGTATTTCCATTTTTTTCCTGTTGAGATAGGAATTTTCATATCAGGTTAACATATTGTCCTTTCAATAAAAATCTGTTTTTTTTCGAGAGCGGGATCCAACATTTTTTGTTTTGTTTTACAGTTAACTTATTCTTTTCTTTCCTTTATAAGTACTAGTAACCAATTTTTCCATTGAACTTTTATTTGCCATGTTTACGGACAAATTTTCATTTCCATTAACCAATTTTTAGATTTCCATTAACCAATTTTTAGACATATCTATTTTTCAGATGAAACACCGCTTACTCTGGCTGCTGCACATGGCCATTCCTCAGTTGTGGAGGTAAAATATATATTTTTTACTAAAAAAAAAGTTTTTTTTTAAAGAGACAAAAGACGTATTTTTAAGTAACTTCCAGAAATAAAGTGGCATGTCTGATTCACAACGGGATCCTTCATAACTTTGACTGGTTAAGAATAAATGAGATATCCATGTAAATGTAAAATGAATAAACAGATGAATATGAATACTGTTTTATTTAGGTTTTAACCCCTATCATTTAATAATTTAAAGTTGTCCCGCCATGCAAAGATGCCCGATTCACAACAATACCCTTGAAACATTTTCTGACTGAAAATTAATTAATTGATTGTTAATTAAACAAACAGACATTAGAACTTTATAAATATATATTATTTAATATAGTTTCCTTAGTCTGTTGAAATGTGTAATGCACGTTTATAGAGAAACCACAATTGAAACAAATAAGTTTAGGGGTGAATGGATGTCTGATAGACAAAGCTTCTAATGGTTCCGTTGTGAATCGAACATTTTCATCTTTGCATGAAGGATCACTGATAATTACACAGTCCAATAAAGTAAATTTTCGATATTTTTTGTTTTTATATTGAAATACAGTTTTAAACAAATACCTTCTGTGGTGTGATCATAATTCCTTGAAAAAGTATATTTGCTAGATGTGATACAAAACTCTGTGTAGTGATTATAATAGAATTTAACACAGAACTTTGGAGACATCGAAAGAATTGATAAAATCTTGTTTTTAACCCTACTGTTAATAATGATTTGCAGCTCTTTAAAACTGTTCCCCCAACGGAATTGAGTCTTGGCCACAAACTCTGATTTTCTAATTCCTTTATTTTTGGAACCCAATGTCCAAAACCTTTGATATTTCAAACCTAAAATTATTTGATCTAACAAAAGTCATCGTTTACGACATTGGAATCCAAAGATATAGGAATAAGAAAATCAGAGTTTGTGAAAAAAGACTCAATTCCTTTTATGGCTATTTATTTATTCATACAATTGCATTCCTACGAGATTTAGGTATAGCATTAAAAAATTGTTATGACGACATTTTACAAGTTCTTTTGATGTCTTCTAAGTTCTGCGTTGCACTGTACCCGGCTATCCACAGAGGACGAGACTTCAGAGACGACATAAATTATGTAGTCTGTTTCTTTTATGAATTAAAACCCTTTTAATTTCAAAACAGAAGACAAAATCCAGCCTCAAAGGGGCTGTAAGCACATTTTCAAGTGACCCTCCAATCAAAGATGGCAATGCCCGAAAAACAACGATGCCATTGAAAGGGGAAAAACTAGAAAAATAGAAATAAACACTTTTAAACCAAGAAAAATGACAATATATTTCACATTATTGATCAAATAAAGGTTTTAATTCTACTTATTTGAATCGGGCAAGACTTGAAATTAAGCTTACAGTCCATTTAAGGTCTCTTAGGCCGGGGGGGGGGGGGGGGGGGTGTGATCCATTAGTCGGGAACTCGAAAAATAATAAAACAGTTCACAGAAAAGCGCTCAATCTTTTAGACCCTGTCCCCTTGCAGTACATTGATATAACAAACAAACACCGTTTAATACGGTGTAATGTAACAAATATGATATTTGAAAAAAGTTATAATATTTACATCTTTCCTCTACTATAAAATAAAGCTCTAAGGCCAAAATTATAATTCTTATCTCAAGTATACATACGTAACTTCTAAAATAATGCAAACTTGTAAATGCAAACTTGGACAAATAAAATCAAACGTTTAAAATATAGAAATGATTTATCATACATTTCCCATATAATGAGTTTTTAAATTATTTTAGAAAAATAATCTTTTCCATAAATCTTTTGAATCCTTCATGTATCATTATTGACTACCTGAGGCACCCACTTTCACGTGCCTCCATTTCCCCTCCAGATCGTGCCTCCTCGGTCCCCCTTGGTTCTACCTTAAACCAATTTTAGAATGAATTTATTACCGCATACTAGTCCTCTGTACCCACTGTACAACTTGTTCCAGTCCAAAACAAAGGCTTCAAAATTTCGGATTTGTCAAAAAAAAAATCTTTTTCGATTTTAGATTTAATAAAACTCCTAAAATAAAATATTCTCTAAATACAAAAAAACGTGTATTTGGAAATCTTGATAGCACTCGACGTTTTGCAAGTGTTATGGGCTTTTTCTGCTTTTCCAATTTACTAAAATATTTTAATGTAAAAAGGAGTAAAAAGAAGAGGCTAAAGCCCCCCCCCCACACTCTATTGCTTAGTTTCACTCGAAGGAATGGGGGGGGGAAGATCAAATGAAAGTTTGATTTAAAGTTAAAACAATAAACAATTAGTTTAATAATCAAACTCAAGGTTTCAAAACCAATTTAGGTATTTAACCTTATTTATATCTTGTAATTCTGATAAATCTATCAGAGACTATTTCTGTTGAAACAGAAGAAACGTTTGCTGCGTTTTCTCCTAGATTTCGTAGATCTTCAGTGTAATCAGGCGATTCTTTTATAGATTGAAATTTTAGACAATAACATTTTCTTTGACAAAATTCAGTCTTTTTTTCCATCTCATTTTTTTTTTACCCATTTTCACCCCCTCCCCCTTCGATGGAGTAGGGGGCGCCCTGTGACCCGCTCCCCTTCTATTTTTGCCACTGATTTATAATAACGTGCATATTGAATATGTAATAATTAAAAGAATTAAACATATGATGAACTACACGTGACCAAACCATATCAATGAAAGGAGCAGCTGTTAAAGAGATAACTGCCCCCTATCCCCCCCCCACCCATCTACCCGTGATAAAGGGTTAACCCTGCAGGGGGGAGGGGGATTGGTCAATTAATCGATCCACTGGAATACGATAAATAGAGAATCCCCCCTGTATGTACAGTAATACATCTATAGAAACAAAGAGTTATACTAACGGTCTGTTCAAATATCCTTTAACTAATTACTGATATCAACAAAATAAATCAAGAAAATAAACAAACTTTCTGAAAAAGCAAAAAACTAAAAACCAAAAATGACAAAATATTGCAATTGGTCAAACTTCAAAGGTTTTAAATTTGACTTTTTTTTCAAAGTACTGAGTGTTGAAATATGCAGCAGAATGTTTACTGAAAACCTCATTTCTCGCTCTTGGCTGCAAAAATTAAAACTAGAAGTTATGAGGTCGCAACATCGTACCAGTTGTTCTGTACAAGCAATCCTTGTTCGAAAAATACGTTTAAAGTAACGAAACTGATATATAACCATAGAGAATAGAATATATAGAGAGGATTTAAAAGAATCTCTCGGTATGAATTTTTTCAGTCCCTTTCAGCCTGAAAGGGAGTTCAAAGTGTACAAATCATGTAAANGATAGATAGATAGATAGATAGATAGATAGATAGATAGATAGATAGATAGATAGATAGATAGATAGATAGATAGATAGATAGATAGATAGATAGATAGATAGATAGATAGATAGATAGATAGATAGATAGATAGATAGATAGATAGATAGATAGATAGATAGATAGATAGATAGATAGATAGATAGATAGATAGATAGATAGATAGATAGATAGATAGATAGATAGATAGATAGATAGATAGATAGATAGATAGATAGATAGATAGATAGATAGATAGATAGATAGATAGATAGATAGATAGATAGATAGATAGATAGATAGATAGATAGATAGATAGATAGATAGATAGATAGATAGATAGATAGATAGATAGATAGATAGATAGATAGATAGATAGATAGATAGATAGATAGATAGATAGATAGATAGATAGATAGATAGATAGATAGATAGATAGATAGATAGATAGATAGATAGATAGATAGATAGATAGATAGATAGATAGATAGATAGATAGATAGATAGATAGATAGATAGATAGATAGATAGATAGATAGATAGATAGATAGATAGATAGATAGATAGATAGATAGATAGATAGATAGATAGATAGATAGATAGATAGATAGATAGATAGATAGATAGATAGATAGATAGATAGATAGATAGATCTAGATAGATAGATATAAAGATAGATATAATAGATATATGTTAACCCTGTCAAGGTTCTAATTAGCAAGAATGAGTAGAAATCTGAAATTTGATAATACAATATTTCAGATTTGACACCTTTAACTAGTTTACTGTAAAGCGTTTACAAATTTGTTTATTGTACAGTTTGTACAAATTAGTTTACTGTACAGCTTGTACAAATTTGTTTATTGTACAGTTTGTACAAATTAGTTTACTGTACAGCTTGTACACATTTGTTAATTATACAGTTTGTACAAATTAGTTTACTGTAAAGCTTGTACAAATTAGTTTACTGCACAGCTTTTACAAATTAGTTTACTGTACAGCTTGTAAAAATTAGTTTACTGTGCAGTTTGTACAAATTAATATTTTTCACTGCATGAACCAGGGTATATATTTTGAATTTTGCAATAATTGAGATAATTTTTGATGCTCTGGAGAAAAATGGAAAATTTGAAATTAAAAGAAAAATTTCTTTATCCTGAGTTTAATATTTTTCACTCAAAATTTCATAATTGTCACCTAACATTTTATATTTACCCCAATTCAGCAAATAAACCCCAAAAAAACTTCTTGGGAACTTAAATGATTTTTGACGAAGGCAAGGGGAGCTTGGGGGTAGTATACACCCCTTCATTGTACACTTCACTCTGGACTAACCAGAGTGAGAAGCATTCGGTTTCTTCTATTTTAAATTAAACGTGTTTTGGTCTATGAGGCAACAATCTTTTAATTTACGGATTTGGTGTTCTATATTTTTCATTCAAAATGTATATGCCGACAAAAAAAGTATTTAAGAAAAAAGGCTAAAAAATTGTGTTTAATGGGTCAAATTGTGATCGAAAGTCACAGTTATCGGGAGTATTGTCAAAACCTTTAAATCCACGTGACTTTCATTTAGACTTATTATGGCCTCAATTATAAAATTAAAATGGGAATTTAAAAAGTCCTGATTTCCTGGAAGCAAAAG